TGATAAGTTCGACCTCATTCGAACTGAGCTTAAGGCTAAGCACCTTCACCATCGAAGTTTGATGGTTCGACCTCGTTCGAATTCGAACAGGCTGTTAGTTCGACAAGTACGAAGTAACACCCTTAGGGCCAAGACCTTCGCCATTAAGGAACGATAGGTTCGACCTCGCTCGAACCCGAATGAGCTATCCTCTCAAAAAGTTCGCAGTAAAATCTACGACCAGGAACCTTCATCACAAAAGGGAAACCGGGACTCGTCTAACGAGCTCTCACCCCGCGACCAGATCATAAATCAACAGAGGAAACCGAAACGCAAGGCAAATAGCGAAAAATAGTTCTTTATTCATGAAGTATGAAATACGGGCTATTGCCGCTTACATCGGTCCAGGCCAGTCAACAAAAAAAGAGAAAGAAAGCAACAAGGAACAAACAAGCGCCAACCATCGTACGAAGTAAAAAAACGAGAGGGGAAAACAACAAAGCACGTTTTTTTTCTCTCACTCGGCGCCAACGCCGCCGTTTCCATCATCACCATCGCTAGTACCCCCATTAGCTTCGGGCGTCGCCACATCATATCCACAGTTGCCACGAGCCTCATGAGCCTTCTGGCGCGCCTCCTCGAAAGCCGCCTCAGTAACGGTGCCCGCTTCCCACAAATTCTTGAAAATGTCACGTTGAGCTTCAGCATATACCCAGAGTTCATGAGATTGGCTGGGAACAGCGGCACGGGATGGTCCAACCTGGGCCCTCAACCGCTGATTATCCTCCTCCAAGGCCGCAACTCGATCTGACAAGGCTAAGGCGTCCTGGTCAACCGTGCTAATCCGCTCCTCGAGCCTCGCCTCCCTAAGGGTTGCAGTAGCTCTCTCCGACTCTCGCTCGGACTCATGTACACGAACTTCCGCCTCTAAGGCCGCTGCCCTCGTCGAAGCATCTAACGGTGCCCTCTCCATGCACTTCAAATCGGCAACCTTGCTTTCCAGTGCAGTCAATTTCCCGCTCCATTCGGCGTTCATCTCCGCTGCTCTGGCCTGGCTCTGCTCCATTTCCAACTGCATTGCTTGTAACTTGCCCTGTAGGTGCTCGCATTCCGCAGCGACCCCTTTGCCCACCTCGAGCTCCTCGTCCTTGAGGCGGATTTGCTCTTCGAGCTCGCTCTTGCTATGGAGCGCCTGCATTAACTCCTGGTCCATTTTCTCCAACTCCTCGCCCAAAGCCCGGTTGCGGGGATCAGTCCTTAACCGTTCGTGCAACTCACGGCACCTATCACGATAGCGACGGCACTTTTCCAGCATCTGCAAGAAGATCCTCGATCGGACATTTGCCCTGCGAATGTTCTCTACCTCCAACATGTACGTGTGCAAAACAAGAAAGCAGTTAAACTAATGCTCATTCTGCAACGGAGAAATAAATCGAAGTCAGATATAACATACCCGTAAGCCCATCACAACTACTTCGTCCATCACTTCGACGTCCGAAACATTCCTTAGGGACTCGTTCTCGGACTCCGAACACAACAAGCTGAATTGTGGTACCAAGTTACCTCCATGTGTCAACAGATTCACGTCGGAGGGAATCTCGACGAAATGGGCCGACCCCTCCGCATTAACCACCGAGCGAGTAATGCCCTCCTCGAACATCCAAACATCATCAGGGTCCAAGTCAAACTCGAACTCGTATTCGTCGATCGCTACACTCTTTCCCCTCTCCACTGCCGATGGTGTGACGCGACCTGCCGAGGACGGTGACGGCGCACTCGAGGTCACGACGGCAGCATCAGGGGTCCGATTCTCTGCTACAGCGAGGTGTCCTGCATCATCAGCCGCAGGTATTCCTGATTGGGTCGCTATAACAGTGGAATTCTCCTGGATTTGACTGATGGGAACAACTCCGACCATCCGCTCCCCCTCAGCGGTAGACGTCACAACAACTCCTTTCTCTGGGTCCGCCGCGGGAGAATCCAAGTTGATCACTGACGGAGTAGCCGTCTCGAACTCTACCCTCCGTCTCTTCAATGGCCCTTCTTCCTCTCCGGTCGATGGCGAGCCCTTCTGAGGACGGACGGCACCAGACGAGGCCTCGTCCTGAGATATAGTCCGGGTCAGAGTGGCCAAGGCCACAGATTATACCGATGCTTCCCTCGACGAAGGATGAGCCGCAGGCACTGCACTGAGACGAGCGGACGCAGCCGGCCGATGGAAAGTTAACTGAGGAGCCCTGACTCTGCGAACCCTCCCTGGCCACGGCAAACAATACTCGAAGGTAAGATCGAAACGAAAGGGAATGGGTAGAAAATAAGGGCGCTATTTCACCTGTAAGGGGCCTACGTCCGAATCTCTCATGAAACGTCGACCATGTGCGAACTCCCGCTGTATGGGGAAGGACGGCCTCGACCCATTCTCGAATCCCCTCCAAAGGAGGCGGGGGTAGCTTCTCAGCTGCAAAGCATCGAAGTAGATCAATATTTACAACATAAGAGATAAAGAGAGCAAGGACAAAGCGGGTACCCTATTAACCAAGGATGAAGACTTACGAGCAAAATTCCACACTTCTGGTAATCCAGATGGATCCGCCACAAGGTGTTCGGTCCGCACATAGAAAAAGTTATCAAAAAAGCGACGATTGGTCCTGTCGTCCATCTTCACCACCAAACCCTTTGACCCTCGGGGACGCACGTGGATCATAGTGCCGCGAATCTTTTGAGGAGCGAATAGGCTGAGCACGNTCCGGCCGTCGTAAGTAACTACTCTACCGACCCCCTCCCCCCCCACCCCCCCCCCCCGGGGCGGGATAAAATTTCCTCTACTGAAGTAACATCTTCGCATTCTATCAGTTCTGTGTCTCCATTTGCCGGAGCGGAGTTTTCAGCTACCGGAAGGATAGCCGAGAGATTATCACGAGAAGAAGTTCCTGCCATCTTTAACCCACAAAAAGAGGAGGAAGGAGCTTTGCGGAAGAAGTGAGAAAATTGAGGATTGCTGCGAGCAAAGGAGTAAAGAAGAGCTCAAATTAACAGAATGGGAAGCACTGGGAATTCTTTCGAAGATGAGCGATGGAATGTGAAGAACGAATGATAGATCCCTTCAATTTATAAGACACGAATTTTCCAGGGCAAGAAAACTAACGGTTGCCACTAGGGCCCGATCGGGCACGAAACGGTTCAGCTTCTCGGGAATATGTGCCATTATGACTGCTTGTACAAAGTGACATTTCATTTATCAACCGGTGCTTCAGTTTCAAAACTGTCACAACAGTGTAAGAGTATTAGAAAGATGCCCCCGGGCAGTTTCAAAATTCATAACGCGACTAAGGAATAATACGTGAATCTGACTCCCTCCACGATTATGTCGCAAACATGATCCGTCTGCCGAGGTCAGCAAGACACGACCCCGACAAACGGAGGGACTAACTGTATTGGTCAAAATCTGACCACACGATCACGGCGGCAATGACCCCGTCCCAACCATCCTGAAGAAGTAGCCAACGAACCCGACTTCGTCCGATTATCGCTACTTTCGATATGAGCATTGAGGCCAAGGCCTCCCTACGACGAGGGAACATCTCCCCGACCCGATCACGATAAAGCATGATCTGCACAAGAGGTTGTCGACTATAAATACTAGGCAAGAGAGCTGAAATGGGGGCTTCTTCTCCATTACAAAAACAGCTCCAAAATGGGAAAAGGGGAAAAATTCCATTTTCGACTACTTATGAAGGAGATAACATGATTGTAATCCCCTGAACCTCTTCAAGGAGAGGCAGGGCAAATTTCTATAATAAATACAATCTCCCAAGTGTTATTTCTGTTCAATCTTCTATTTTTTTTGACTCTGTCCTTCGATCCAGTATTAATTATGATTGACTTTGATTTACCCCTTCATTTTTTTTGATTGATTTGCTTAAAAGTATTTAACAACTTTTGAGTCAAACACTTATTCTTCTTTTTACTTGTTGAATTGGAATGAGGTTAAGGTATTTTTGTGGTGGTATTGTGGTTGAGGTGTGTGAAAATCGTGAAAATGATTTTTTTGAGGTAGTGTATATGTGTATATTATCCTGTATATCGCTCATGTGCATTTGTGTATTCCGTATATTCCATGTATAATTTTGTACACCCATATATACATGTTTATGATATACATGGAGATACAGTAACATAAATATGATATATTTGCCTATAGACGGATCCAGAATTTTGGTAGTCAAGGTCACCAGGAATCTTTCTCAAATTTTGTTTATTGACTAGTCCGGGTGATTTTTCCTTACGAATTCAGACCACACTCACCGAAATAATCCTTTTTTCTAGATCTATTGAATGTTGTATATAATTGAGAATTTTTTGTTGGTAAAAAATATAAATAATATATTATTTTTGGTCCGATTCTGTAAAACTCCCAAAATAATTTACTGGTATAGCAGTAATAAATCCGGGCGATTTTACGCAAAATGAAACCATGAAACAAAGTAGAGGAAGCTTTTCAGATCGTTTGGGCTAACAACTTGTTTGGATGGTTGTTACATATCGTTTCATATTGTATCGTACTGTACTGTATTGTATTGTACTGTATCATTTGATGAATACAATGTTTGGATAGATGGTGTCGTTTGCCATCGTTTCATGATATCACGCACCATCAATATGAGGAATAAACTTGTAATATTATAAAGAATAATTATAATACACGGTAAAATTATTATATAAAAAGGTACGGTAAATGATAAATAAAATTATATAATAATAATGAAGGGTGGGATTGAGAGAAAAGACAAGGTAACGACACGATCACACCAAATCAGTCGTTACATAAAGTGACACATTTCGTCGTTGCGTAACGACGGATTTAACGGTACGATACAATAAAATTTAAATAACAAACAAAATAAATATCATATTTAAAGTAACAATAAAATACAATACAATATTTAACAACCACCCAAACAAACTGTAAATCACAAACAGGCCCCACTCTTCTACTAACATATTGGGCTGATGTTGTCTCATAGCAACTAGGGGTTTTTCTAGTCCACCGAACCATCAAAGAAGTCTCTCTCTCTCACACACAGACACAGAGTAGAGGAGCTTTAGCAGTCATCAGGAGAAGATGAAGCTGAAGCAATTAGAAGGTCTTCTGGGTTCCCTTGAACAGTTCTCCAGCCCAAAGGTCCCCTGTTTTTGTTGAATTATACATCTCCATGCACTTTTCCTTTAATTGGGTCTACACATGTTTGCTTTCTGTCCATGTAGTGTGATTCTTGATTTCTAAATTCAGAAAGAATGTTTTTTTTTGCTATTGCAGATTGAACTAGAACAATATCCTACTGGAGCCCACATTGCTTCTCGCATGCTTTACACTGTAATTCTCTATATTCCTATCCTTTTTCTTCTTATACAGATACCCTCTTTATCATTGTTGCTCTATTATTGGCTTTTTTCTTTTAAGTTTCGTTTTAGGGTATTTTTTGGAGCGATTTTTCCTAAAAGTCTTGTTTTTTTTTTTAATTTTCTGTAGGCTGACAATTCATTTGAGGATGTGAACAGTAAGGTGGTTGCTGATTTTGGATGTGGGTGTGGTACATTAGGCCTTGCTGCTGGCCTTTTGGGAGCTGGGTATGTTCATAACTTTCTCTGTGTTTTCTTTCTTTTATTGAACTTTACTGTTGGACGTACATACTTCTTCAGTGGCGGATCTAGGATTTTAAGGTCGTGGGTGCTCACTCTTTTAACAGAAAGTTGCTACCAACCACATAGTATAACTGCACAACTATTCGAACACAACAGAGAAAAGGTTAATGAGAAATTATAGTTAAAATTATCATTGTCAAAAAAATACTTCTAGTCTAGTCATGAGTCACAATGAACTACTAATAATATTATCTTTAAAAAAGACTTTTAGTCACAAAAGCATGAAACATAAAAAAAAAAAAAGATTGTCTAACGCTAAAGTATCACGAGACAAAAGCCTAAGGAAATAAGAAAAAGAGAAAAAATAAATTTAAAAGAGACGGTTCAAACTTAGAAAGGAATTATAAAAATTGAGATGGTCAGTATTAAGAAGTAGCAGGCTGGCTTTCAGAAAAAGAAATGCTTCCTTCAGAAATAGAACCGACGCCTCTTACTTCAGAGGCGCTTCTAAGTTCAACCTTAGAGCCACAACACCTATTAGTCATTTTGGTTCCTGGGTGCTTGCCAATATATTGTATTGGTTTCTTATATCTTTGATATAATCATACACAATTTATCTTGAGGTCAATGGGTGCTGAAGCACCTAAAAATTAGTACATAGATCCGCCCTTGTATTAGTTGAGAACATGGATGGCAAACGAGCAGGTCGAGCCGGATATGGGCAGGTTGAAAGTCGATTATGCAAAAACGGATAAAATTTCCTACCTGACCCATGTTTAACATGACTTCTTGAATAGGATCACTTTTGGGAGAATTCCTATTCTCCAAAACTTGAGGAACCCCCAATTTGAGTCTTGGCAAATGTAAAATTTAAATTCATTAGCTATCTATTTTTTAAGTGGATAATATGGATCTTTTCCACATTTGACCCATTTTCGAAAAGTTCATTATCCAACCTATATTTTAGTGAATAATATGGATGGATTTATTTTTTTATTCCATTTTGCCACCACTAGTTTAGAATATGTTTTAGACATTAGCACTTTTACTTGGGTTATATATACCCTCTCGGAGTGGTTTAACCTTAAGAGATTTATGTTTAGAAAATATACAGAATTTTTGATATTTCTTATTTGTATTTATAATATTGGCATGAGATGAATTAAATGGAGTAGCAAGGTCTAGCTGGCCCCAACTTGTTTGGGACTAAGGTGTAGTAGTAATAGTTGTTTTTGATGATGAACTTTACTGTTGAGTGGGGATAACATTATTTGTTCTTTGTGCTATGGATTTTCTTATATCAATTTTGGCTGCAAGATGGTGCCGTATTGATGCTTGTTCTTTACATGGAGTTTTTGTGAACAGAAGTGTTATTGGGCTTGATATTGATGCTGAGTCTCTTGAGATTGCATCTGCAAACGCTGATGAACTTGAGGTGATTGTACTTTTTCACAAGTATATTGCATTTTTTTTCCCTTTTTGACTATAAAGGCCGAGACAACACTCTCATACTTCTAAAATTGATTTTGATTAATAAATTTATTAGCATTCCATATTTATCTGTGTGCTTATCTTCATCTCTTGAACAATTTCTTCTGCAGTTAGACATGGATTTTATTCAATGTGACATTAGAAACTTTAAATGGAGAGGTATCTTCCTTGCCCCGTTCTTTTTTTTTTGTTTAAAAAAAGATCTCTTTTACCTGTCTCTTGATTGATATTCAATCATCTGTAGGTCAGGTTGTTGAGACGGTGGTGATGAATCCACCTTTTGGTACACGGAGGAAAGGTGCTGACATGGAATTTCTCTCTGCTGCTATGAAGGTATGATTGTACTCTTTCATATTTCTGGTGGCCAAGACATTATATTCTTTGCTCATTATCTTCTTTATTGTTTCTTGTTTAGTCCTCATATGTTCCCAAGCTTTTAATATATGAATTTATTACTGTATCAGGTTGCTTCTCAAGCAGTTTATTCGTTGCATAAGACCGCAACAAGAGAAGTAAGTTCTTCCATACTGCCTTCCCCATAACAAAAGAAATGATTGGTGAAAATAAACTTCTTTTACCGTCCACACTAAATGGCTTAAATGTGAACTAAGAAATTATTTGAGTTTGTAGTGCTCGTAAATGATGTTAATTTTAATTAAGTTGCTATCGCTTATCCAAAAAGCAAAAAACAAAAGAAGAGAAGTTGCTGATTTTATCAATACAATTATCTGGGAAGTTTAATAGCTGTACTGAATGTTGAATTTACAGTTTCCATCCTGAAGTTAATGAAGAACCTTAGATTTCTGTTTATCATTGAATAGATCAGCTTTTGGCATTCAAGAAGAGGGGAGTGAAAAATGTAAAAGGTTTCGAAATACAAATTTAAAAGAGGTTGGCCTGTTAGTTAAAGGAGTCCAAAAGGGCAGCGTGGTGCACGAAGCATCTCACATTTACGCAGGGTCCGGGAAGGGCTGCACCCAAAGGGGGTGTTATGTAGGTAGCCTATCCTGATGCAACTATCCGTGACTGATTCCACCGTTCGAACCCGTGACCTATTGGCCATACGGAGACAACTTTACCGTTGCTCCAAGGCCCCCCTTCGTTAGCTAAAGGAGTCTGACACATTATATTTGGGCAAAGGAATGATTGGCTGAGAGCCTGAGACGATGCTCCTTCATCCCTGATTAGATCTCTTCTTGATGTTTAGAATGATTAGTTACTTTGCAGATGCAAGTATTAGATTCTTGCTCATAACCAGTTATACTTCCTCTACATTTTGTCGCATCAATCATAATTGACTTGTTTTATGCTGTTCTGATTTTTCTTTTGTTACAACAGAAAAACTGCTTACAATCTGTAAACCGTGTTCAATGCGTTTTCCGCACACAATGCCTGCCTCTTTTTTAGCGCAAAAGTGCTCTGATCTAGGTCATGATCAACATTTATCGGTTCAATATAATGTTCGGGAGGATATATAATTTTTTCGTTGTTCTGTTTCTTTGGCTATAACAGCATGTGAAAAGAGCAGCCTTACGAGATTATAATGCAAGAACTGCTGAAGTTATATGTGAGGTACACATTCTTTTTCTTATTCAATTGCCATTTCTTAACTATCAAGAAAATAGATTGAATGTTTTGTTTTCTATCTTGGTTTATTGGTAGTGACTTTGAGTGAGATTTTGTGTTGCCTTGTAATGTTTTGTGCTCTAATCTCTTTTAATTGCAGCTTCGGTATGATGTGCCACAACTTTACAAATTTCACAAGAAAAAGGAGGTCGACATTGCTGTGGACCTCTGGCGTTTGGTTCCTCAAAGAAAGCAAGAAAGATCTCTGTAGTATAAAGAATAGAAAGTACGCAGATACGATGCATGTCAACACACCCATTTCTGAACTGGAGAAGGTTTCTCACATTATTGCAAATATAGTTCTATGAAAGAAGTAAGAAATTTGTATCATTTGCTCCAGAACTAACTTTAACTTTGTTACTTGCTACCCGATGTCAATATGCCTTCCAGAGTTTGATTTGTTATCTTTTGTTCCTAAACTTTAAAATCTTCGTCCTCTGGTTGACTGTTAGAAATGAATTGGCTTTTATACTATCTGCATTATGTAGGCAATTTGGCGAAGCATAAAGTTAGTTCAATGACTTGTAACTTGATTTAGTTATCTTTGTGATTCGGAGATTGTCAATATAGGAGCAACTAAGTTTGAGTTTCCTAACTCTGGGAAGAGCTTCTCTCAGCTTTACCAACCCCTTTTCCTTCTTGTCAACAATGTGGATCTTCATCAATGGTTACGGGTAGTGGTGGCAAAATGATTCAAAGAAAATAATTATTCACCCATATTATCCATTAAATGGGTTGGATAACAAACTTTTTTAAAAAACGGGTCAAATATGGATAATCATATTATTCACTTAGAAAATGGATAACTAATGAGTTTAACTTTTACATTTGTAAAATTTCAAATTGGGGGATCCGTCAGAGAATTTATTCATTTTTGCATTACCCGTTTTGACTCGTCCATATCCGAACTGACCCGCCCGTTTGCAACCCTTAGCTACAATATATCAACTCAACGGACTGATCCTGCCTACAGCTGTAAGGCGGCTAGAATTTTATAGGTATTGCTGTGGCTTATCAAGATCCCCTCCTATTTCCGCGGGAGCTTGATTTATCATGGCAGCTCTAGTATTTGAACCATCTGCAGCTGAAACTGTTGCTTTTTGTGACCTGCATTAGACCATCAAACAACTTCTATAAGGCGCATAAACTATATGGTAATTGAAAGACTAGATATATAATAAATATGTGGAAGAAGTTGCAAAGGGATTTCAAAATACAAATGTACTAGGTTGATAGGGTTTTTCCTTGGTTTCAAAATATAAGAGGCTGCTCCTCTCTTTTCTGGTAAGGAGACAAGTTCAGTTCAGCTGCAATTTGGACAGCCACCTCTGCAGCAAATCACGTCTCGTTAATTCTCTATTTCACCCAATCCTTCACCAGTTCTTCAAGTCTCTGGTTATGTCTTTAGGACAGCAGGTCTTCCTTCGCTTTCAATTTCTCTTTCCTCATTGACAGTCACATCTTCTTGGAAACCAAATATTACACTTGAGGGAATGCAGCCGCTTGCATGGCTAAGTCATCACAACTAATATGCCTAGGAAATCAGCCTGCCAAGAACTAATTCTAATGTATGCACAAGCCTTTTTCCAGAAATACTCACTTTGGATCCTCAAGCCTTCTTCTTCCGGTCCATCACTTTGGATCCTATCTTATTTGCGCGACTGCTATCGGTGTAGTAACAGCTTCAAACGTTATAGGAGAAGAATTTATTAGAGCCGAACAACAACAAATCCCATAAGTGGGGTATGGGGCGCAAACCTTATCAAGATAGCAGAACATGTACTGACAATAAATTAGTCTGATAACCCACCGAAATCTAGCAAGTAACTAGTTTGGAGAGGAAATACCTAGTCTTACAGTAGAATCTACTAAACAATCTTATTCATAAAAGAACCTTTTGTCCCCTTTCCTTTAAGTTTCGTCCCTTTTCTTTCCAGTTGAAACCAGCGGAAAAAGAGCTAAAGTACGTCTTTTCTGAGATTCCATAATGAAAAGTAAGAGTTAGATCCATAATGGAACAGAAAAGACCAAGCCAACTCAAACCTGTCCCACATTCTGCATTGGTTCTTTGGTCCAACCCAGTTGCATTCTGAATCGGTTTCGTCCTTTGAGAATCTCTTTTATGAGGTTTTACGTGACAGTCATTTTCCAAAGCCTTTTCTATTTTTTTTTCTCTTTTTCATTGTCTTAATTCCTCCTCCTTCGCGTCCAGAATTTATAGCTAAGATTGATCACACTGTTTTTACCTCTTAAACATTATCCTCTTACCTTCTTCTTGATGTTCATCTTCTACACACATCTAGAGAGATATAAGGCTCTCTCCATTATCCCTAAATTAGGATATGTCAAGTGATCACGTCCAACTATGCCTTATAAAGAGGACTGAGCGATCGTTGCAAATATAATCCGGTTTACAAGTACGGAATCGAATCCCACAGAGAACTAAGGTCTTGCTGTAACAGTTAAGTATACAAGTTTGATCTACATCCTGAAGCTATAGAAATTGAGATTTTATTTCTAACTAATTAACTAACTAATTAATGTAGAATTCTTAACTAAAGATACTAAGGGTTAGAGACAAGATTAAGGAGGCCTAGAGTTATGATTTTCCCAATTATCGGAATTCTTCTCGCTACGTTTCCTATAATTTCGCCTAAGTATTCTCTATAGATCGTGAGTACTTCTGGTGTCGTAATTCTCTTCCGAGCAACTACCACAATTTACTAGACATATTCTTCCCAACTACGCTAGGTGACACTAGTTTACCGCTCACTAAGATCACACCAAGATTTCGTTATTCCTAATCCTACCTTTAAACCCTCTGTATTAATTCCTCACATATTAGGAGTGATGTTGTTCAATAACTACCTAAATACGTACCATTTTCCAAGCAATACACACTAAACATGCACAGTCAATTGAGGGCCCTTCAATCAACTAAGATCATCACGTAGTTGAACAAGTAGAGAAAATCCAACGGCAAAATATATTAAACACAACAAAAAATCATCCTCCAAAAGGTTCCATCAAACCCTAGATAAAAGAGTTTAGCTACTCATAACCATACTAACAATCATGATAATAATTGAGAGCATTATAATACAGATTAAGGGAGAACGAAAGAGATAAACTCTCGTGATTCTTTGCTTCCAAGTGTTCCTCTAGCCTTTTTCCTTTCCAATAATGTCTCTCCTCTAAGAATTAGGTTTAGAACCCTTTTTATACATATTGGGGGGGTGTAGCGTCGAAACTACCAAGTTCTAGCCGAATTAGGACGAAATCCGTCCTTGGGCGTCTCGCTTGGCGCTTGGCGGCAACCTGGACATTGAACTTTTTTCACTTTTGTGCTCTGCTACCCTTGGCATTTTGGTTGGTGCCTGGCGTGAACCTGGGCACCAAATTCATACTCTCTCCAAATTCTTTCGTTTTTACTTCAATTTGCATGCAAGCTTTCCCAAATCACTTCCAATTGACTCCTACATATATAAATACCATTATTAAGCTCGAGTCACAAATATTCACATCAAAGTTAACAAGATCGGGGCATAATACAAGGCAATAAATATGGATTTTTAGCCTAACATCACCACCCTACACTTAAGCTCTTTCTCGTCCACGAGCAACTTAAAACCTTGCTAACCAAACAATGCACGCAAGACATCATACAACGGAGGAACATCTGGCAATTCAACACACTACACCTATGACCGTGGTTGATACCAACAATTAAGTCCTTGCATACGCATTCATACCTTTCCCAAATTTCACATGCCTGAACATTAGCGACCAATTTAAAGCACTCAAACAACCTGCACATAATCACCCAACCTTAAAGACCGACTCGTCGCCAATGAGCACTCTCAACTCGTGCACTCACCCATCAAGAGATGCTTAATAATGTCACCTATCCGTCATGGAATCATGTGCCTTACCATAGAATAAGAGGTTATTTCGTCCACACATTCAAATATGCATTCGAATATAATTTAAGGACATCACATAAAGGAAGTTCATGTGCATTCCGTGGTTTTACCATAGGCTTGCACGTAGTGTATATCTCCACTAATCTAAGCTTGCAAAGTCTAAGATCGATTAGGTCTTTACGGGTTATAATGTAGGCTAAGGGACGAGTAGGATATATTCTGGTATAGTGACTAACCCTCCTAAGTAATTTAATATACTACACTTAACTTTCAAATACACACTTTTTATGACCAATTCAAGCAATGCCACGAGATCATATACATCTGGCCCTTCTTCTTTAAGGACAACTATGTGTTCACTAGCTCGGATTGAGATGAATAAGAGGTGTATTTTCTCTTTTTGGTCTTTTTGTATTTTCTTTGCTTTCTTTTTCTTCTTTTTTTCCCCTTCAACACTTCCATAAATTTAGGTTGTCCTGCTAATGATCTTCCAAAGCAGAAATAAACCTTTTGGCCTTTCTATGGTTCCGCTCAAAAGTTACCCCAACTCTCACCTTACTCTTCTAGCGACTTAAGTGCTTTCGGAGGTAAATGTTCAACAAAAATTCAATTAATCACAAAATGGGAATCGGCTTGTATTGTGGGTGCCAAAGAAAAAGCTTACAAACTCAAATGGGCTATTTAATGATAATTTTATTTATGGTGGAATGATAACTCAATGGACAATCAAAGAAACGCCTATATCATCTCCTAGATTCACAAAGATCGCTTGTTTCGCTTCGACTAAGAAACAAAGCAAGTTCTAGACAAACACATGATAGCATAAATATAATCAAAACATCACATCACACAATACACATGACCTCAGTTGGAACAGTTCCATTCCAACTCTCACGTTTAGGCAAGTAATCACAAAGTCAAGAATTATTAAGCAATAAAGCACTATATGAACAATGAGTCAAGTAACTGAGAGAAAGCGTCACAGACAGGCTATTCAATCTTTCACGATATCAATCATCATCAAAATATGTTAGGGAGGTAATTTGCATGCTAAGGCATAACTATGTTAGCATCAAACAGGTCAAAAAGCCTATAGGACACTCAATTTTTCTTCCTTGTGTTTTCTAAAAAATAAAAAATTAAAAAAATACCCGGTTCAAGTTACATCCCTTGAAAAAGAACCGATGACAAAAGAAAAACTAAGGGAGATTATTATCCACCTACGACTAACTAAAAACTAAAAAAAATTGGATTTTTTATAATTGGATCTTAATCCCTCAAGAAAGCTGTCCAAGAGATCCATCGTCAGGAAAAGCCCCCCTCCCTTTTGTTTATGTTTTTAAATTTTTTTTCCAGCTAAACTAACACAACTAAACTATCATAGAAATTCACCCAGATAATCTCCTCACCCCACACTTAAAATTATGAATTTTTCCCAATGCACACCATAAGTAACAAGAGGTAAAAGAAACTCCCCGGTAGGCCAAAGGCCGAAGCATCAACAACTCATGGGATACTCAGACTTTTTCCAGGCCCGGTCCTTCGTGCGGGTACCTCATACTTAGTTCCAACCATCTG